TAACCATTCCCCTGTCCTTTGGAATGTTTACCCCAACACTGGATAATTAACAAGAAGGTAATTAATGTTTGCATTGACATTCATTGGAGAGGAAGGGATTACAAGAGAGTAAGCAGGGCCACAATAGGGAATACTCTGGGCTGTTTGCATAGCATGTTTGCAGCTGCCATTTCATGTGCTTTTTATTGTGTGCCTGCTTACTCTCTTGTAATCCCTTCCTCTCCAATGAATGTCAATGCAAACATTAATTACCTTCTTGTTAATTATCCAGTGTTGGGGTAAACATTCCAAAGGACAGGGGAATGGTTAAGAGGCAAGCAAAAGCTGAAGGTGTGAAACTGATTAGGGTTGTCAGTGTCAAGACAGCTATCGGGGGCTGAGTGGGGAAAAGGAAAGCATAGTCCCAGTCATGTGATTTCCCTTAGTGACTGCTTCGCTTAGTGACTGCTTCACTTAGCGATGGAGTTGCCAGTCCCAATTGTGGTCACTAAACAAAGACTACCTGTACTGTTGAAAGCACAAATAACCCAAGATACATTTCTTTTAATATTCAGCACCTACTCGCAGTTAACAAGAGTAGAAAGAGATGCATCCATCTTTTCTATAGGGGGAATCTGAGCGTAGAGTTTCACTTCCTTGGCCTCCGATGGCTTCTGACCATTTTTTTCTTCCTGAAGAAAAAAAGAATGACAGAAAACAGCTTCCTCAAAATTTAGAGAATATTCAATCTAATCCATTCACAGAAAAAGGAACGAACCCCTTTTAAACAGACTTGCTATCACACTTCTCAATCTGAGCACTGAGTGTAGTTGTTAGGGTTTTTTTTTTCCCAGCCTGGAATGCACTTTGGTATGGAATGGTAACTGTGGGGTAGCTCAGGTCAGCGATACATGATATAATCCAATAGTCCATTTTTAAGAATGTCAAATCTGCAATAAAAATTTGAAGAGATTCTAGTCACCAATAATTCTAGATTCTAGTCCCCCATCTCTGGGGGAGATGGGTGGCATACAGATTAAACAAACAAACAAAAAAATAAAATTAGAATTTAAAAAAAAGAAAAACAATTCAGTCTGAATTTAACATTATGACTAACACCGAGATCATGTACAAATATATCTAGCACTTTTAAAGAAACAGCTGCAATATTTATTATGTCTGCAAGCAAAAAGTTGTATTCATAGCAGTTTGCCTGGTAAATATTAAATGGCATTGTTAAACAAATCCTTTCAAAGTGTGAAAAAAATTGTGATAATTTTAATCTGCCAGGATTCCT